GGAATCTACACATATTCCTGCAAACTTTGAGGAAGCAGTTCAGATTGAGGCATGGAAGAAGGCTATGGATGTGGAAATAGAAGCTCAGGAAGCCAACAGAACATGGGACATTGTCCCCAGACCTCTTAACAAGAGAGTCATAGGGAATAGATGGGTGTATGCCATTAAATTTTTGTCTGATGGAGAAATTGAAAGACACAAAGCCAGACTGGTGGCTAAAGGGTTCACACAAATCTATGGAATTGATTTCCTAGATACCTACTCACCAGTTGCCAAGTTAAACTCAGTAAAGACCCTTTTGGCTGTTGCAGCAGCTAAGAATTGACAGATGATACAGTTAGATGTTAGCAATGCTTTTCTGAATGGGGACCTTGAGGAGGATGTATACATGGAATTGCCTCCTGGAATCAACAAACCAGGTTATGTATGCAAGTTAAGGAAGTCCCTTTATGGCCTCAAGCAAGCATCTAGGCAATGGTTTGCCAAGCTTACATCAGTGCTACTGTCTTTTGGGTACATCCAGTCTGCAAATGATTACTCCATGTTTTCTCATCGTTCATCCTCTGGTATTTCAGTTCTCTTGGTCTATGTAGATGACATAATCATTGCAGGGGATGATGTAGTGAGTATGCAGGCTTTGAAACAACATTTGAGCAGTCAATTTAAGTTAAGGGATCTTGGCCATCTCCATTACTTCCTCGGTTTAGAGATGGCTCGATCCAGGGAGGGTATTCATATATGCCAAAAGAAATACTGCACTGACCTTTTGAAAGACACAGGATTTGCAGATTCTAAGCCTATTGCCACACCAATAGACATGAAGACCAGATTATCAGCAGATGATGGACCTCTTATGGAGGATCCCACAGCTTACAGAAAGATAATTGGTCGATTGCATTATTTGACAATTACTCGACCTGAGATTACATTTGCAGTTCAACAGTTATGTCAGTATCAAGCTGCTCCTACAACTACACATTTACAGCTTGCATACAGAGTTCTGAAATATCTCAAAAATGCTCCTGGCCAAGGTCTTTTCTATCCATCTTCTTCTGATCTAAAGCTAAGGGGATATAGTGATTCGGATTGGGCTTCATGCCCTGACACCAGGAAGTCGACAACTGGTTATTGCATCACATTTGGATCTTCTCTGATCATATGGAAATCGAAGAAACAAGGGACAGTTTCCAGATCATCATCCGAAGCAGAATATAGAGCTCTGGCTCAGCTTACATGTGAGGTGGTCTGGGTGAAGAGGTTACTGCAAGAGCTAAGTATTGAACATCCACAGCCAGTAAATCTCTTTTGTGACAATCGATCTGCGATTTACATTGCAGAAAATCCAGTGTTTCATGAAAGAACGAAACACATCGAGATCGATTGTCACATTGTCCGACAATTCCTCCAATCCAAGCTGATAGGACTGAGTCACCTTGAAACCGAGCATCAAATTGCTGACTTATTTACAAAGGGGCTGAGTCGATTCAGGTTGGATTTCTTGCTATCCAAGCTGAACATACAGAATCTGTATGCTTCAGCTTGAGGGAGGGTATTGCAGAATGAAAGAAGACGACGTCGTAGTTCCCCCAGAAGCAAGTGAGGAGCTGGGTAGAGACGGCATCGTTTAACTTAGCATCTTTTCAGTTTTCCGTTTTTACTGTACAGCTACGTGTTTCTCTTAGATTGGTTGGTAGTTTTATTTTCTGTTTGTTACCGTTGTATAGCTGTATAGGGTAACTTTCTTCCCTTCGTGAAGAAGGAGTTGTAGATGCTGAGTATATATTGAAAGGCCTTGAGCCACATAGGATCCTGCGGGTTCCTTTACAATATCCTGGGTCTGAATTTCACAAATAGAAATGAGCAACTGAATGATGCAGAGGCTCTGTTTCTCTCTATTTAAGACCGCAATTCCTTTTCTCTGAGAATTCGAGGTGATCGAGTGAGTGAGGGAGACAAAGGACTGAAGCAGGGAAATTTGTTCCTTATATATTTCTCGCCACAATTTCAAATAGCCAACCCAGTGGCGGGACTATGAAACGATGTCAAGGATAGCATAAGCCGAAACGTTTCGGGACAAAGAACATAGAGATAGAAATGTTTTTTTTTTTGTTGAGAAAAAAGGTCTATATTTGCCAAGTGAAACAGCAACTACGAACAAGGTTAAGTCATCAGAGATCGAAACTGTTTTGAAATGAAACAGACGATTAGAAGAACGATTATAATGTTCGTACGTATTCTATAATACTTAAAACCGAGAATTGTATACTAACACGAGATTGATCAAATAATTGTGATGTCTAAACTACTCATCATGCATACTTCGAAGAAGAACAATTCACAAGAGGTTTTATTATCATTCGCAAATCATAATCGCCCAAACTACAGTAGAAAGCGTATCTGCTCTCTGTGGCATGAACAGAATTTTACAACTGGGATCCAAGGAATCAAATCTGAAACTCTTTTGACGACTGACTAGACGACTACCACAGCAAAAACAAAAATCCAAAATTTGGGAAAGAAGTCTCTGTTTACTCTATGGACTCTGCGTTGGATCATCTTCCGATTCACTTCAGTAGAAAGAAGCCCAGCCCATATGTCTCCGGGTCATCGCCACCGCCAGGCGGGCTATAGGTGTAAATCGGTGTCAGGCCCTGGCCCCGGTTGCTCTGGTTCAACGGGGTTGGCAGCGGCGGCGCCACCGGGGTCTTCCATGATGAGCGACAGCATCCCCAAAGTGCCAGCCCCATTCAAATTCGCAGGGAGAAGCTGAAATTGAAACGGCGCCAGGCGGGCAGCAGGCTGGTCTACTTCTCCGGTCGACGGCTCCGGAGCCACGACGTCCTGTGCATATTGCGAACTGCTCTGGCTAACAGCGGGCTGGGCCGGCGGCGGATTAAAAATATCCTCCAAGCAGATCAACTTCAGAGTCTTCAGGGGATCCGAATCTTGCTGCTGCTGCTGCTGCTCTGCTTCTCCCCTGGGCTGTTCCGAGTTCTTGAAGACGAGATAATCGAGCTCGATGACGGGTTCTTCTTTATCCTCTGTTTCCCGATTCTCTGATTTTCCCTCCGGCGGGGGTTCCCTGTACCAAGACACTCTGATTACCGGTTCTTCTCCGTCTTCATTGGATGGTTCTTCGTGATTACCGATCAGTTCTTTGTCTTCAGTGGATGGCTGGTCTCCGGCGGATGGTTCGTCGTCGCCGGCGGATGGGTTTTCGTCTCCGTCGGTTGGGTCTTCGTCGGCGGCGGATTTTTCTTCGTGCCCAGTGGATGGTTCTCCATCAGATGATCCTTGCCCTGCTTTTTGCTGCGCCGCCGCTCCAGATAGCACCGGCGGTAGATGTTTCTTCGGATCTTGTTGCTCTGTTTTATTCTGATTCCCAGTTACCACGGCGCTGGCGCTCTGTCCCTCTTCTGTAACCGGCACCGACGCCGCCGGTAGCTTCAAGAACTGGCGCTCCGGATCTTGTTGATCATTTTTAGGATTCGCAATTGGCCGCTGTACTTCTTCGCCGATCGATCCCTGGCCGGCAGAAACAGAGACCGAATCTTGAGGCAGCTGCTCTGAGTCTTCGGGTTGCTCATCATTGCGGTTTGCAATTGGCTGCTCAACTACTCCATCGGATGGTTCTTTATCTTCAGTGGATGGTTCTTCATCTCCGGTGGATGGCTCGTCTACGGTGGGTGGTTCGTCCCTTCCGCCTCCGTCGGGCGTTTCTTCTTCGTCGTCGCTGTGTGGTTGTTCGACGGTATAGCGTGGCACAAAGGGTTGGTCTTCGTCTTCGTCTGGGGTGTATGGTACTTCGACAATATCGTCGATAAGCTGATCGTCAACAATGGGTGGTACTTCGACTCCGTCTTCTGGCTCTGGCTCTGGCTCTGGTTCTTGTTCTGGTTCTTCGACAGTATATGGTGGCTCCTCGTCGTCAGATGGATCTTCGTCTTCATCCGATTCACTCGAGTTCGGCGTCCGCCCGATCACATAGTAGCAGACGGCGGTGAAGACTCCGGCCAGCGAAATGCGGGAGAAGTACTGGATCGACTGATCGGAATCAAGAAAGTAACGGCGGGGGAGAGGTTTTAGGAATCAGAGCGAAAAGAAAAAGAAAAGAAAGAAACTCAACACAGCAAAACAGAATTCGAAAAGAGAAATCGAGAAAGGCGTAATGGAGAATCTACCGAGAGAGGCATTGTGAATTCTGGAGTCGGAAATTCACGGAGAAACGGCGGAGACGAAATCCCAGAAAGCTAAACGAAGGAAATGGGCAACTGAATCGTCTTCTTCAGTGCAGAAAGAAGCAGTGGAGGTTGTGGAGGAGATAGGCTAAAGAAGATGGCTATGGAGATTCTGTTTTTCTTTCTTTCTCTACAGATTGCTTGTAACTAACTCTTCTCTGTGAAACTGGAGAAAGGGAGATGGAGCGGTGCGGAGCAGAGCTATTTATGCTGTTTGATGGGATTCTGTTTCAAACAGCTAGACAGTGGCGCGAAATGGATGACGTGGATCACAGACTGGTTAATTGTTTGACGGCCCAACTCAGCCTTTGAGCCCAATTTAGAAGCCCAAGCTATTTCCTTTTTAGTCTCTTCCCTCCTGGTTAAACTTCAAACCAGCAAAAACCCTCGGGGACGAATTGCAGAGGACGATGGCAGCGCAGGATTAGAACGGCGGCGAAATGATAGTGTGGCGCAGGTTCAATCACTGTATTCTTAGTCTTCACCTTGCCAAACGATCCTAGAAATTCCGGCCACCGGAAGTTGCTTCGCGGAACGAGACAGGACTCGGTGTCGGAAGTAGGAACCTTCTCGATGAGAAATCTTAAGGCTAAATTCTCCGCCTGCAGGAGGTCGCTGTCGGCGACGGAGAAGCAGCGAATTGAAGCCGTCCTTCATTTGGTGCAATCACCTTTCATCGGTGCGGCGGCTTGAACTCGGAAACGTTATTCCTTTAAGGCAAACCCCTTTTTCCGCCCCTTTTTATACCTTTCTATCACTGATTTTGAATAGCCTCATAGAAGCTTGAACTCGGTGCGTAGATTCATGGAGACAAAGGGGCTGGAATGATACTGAATTGAAAGTTGACGTACCAATGGGATCTTCGTGTGGTAGTTGTCATCGGAATTGGGAAGAAATGTGCTCTTCGTTCGTAATTTTGATTTAGGTTTTGCCAGTGTTTGACATTCCTTTTTCTGGAAATGTTTCTCCAGCAGCTGCGGATTTTGGTCATTGGATGTTGTTCGAGTAGTCAGTGCCAGTGATTGGTGATCGACGCCTAAATATAGCATTTCACCAGTCTCTCATTCGGTTGGCTTGTTGGACATTGGAACTTATTGAGCTTCGTTCATAGTTCGTCTTAGCTTGAGCTCACTTTCGCTTGTCGTATTTAGTTTTTGTCATTCTTATCGCCTCCTTACCAATTCCAAGTTGTCGTTCATTCAGGGGAAGGGTGTAGGGGGAGGGAAACCGCTAGAAGAGACTGGAAGAAGGGACAATGAAGCTTCTGGGGAAGTATCTGATGGCTTAGTGACACTCGACAAATCTTTGTCAGAGGCGCGACTACAATTGTTGCCATTCAAGTGGCCGGGTAAGAGATTCATGGATCTTTAAGATGCTTCCTTTTCTTCTTATATTGGTTTTGGTTTGTTGTTCCTTGATGAGATATGTTATAAACCGGGCTTCTGACAAAAGAATGACCCAGAGGTACTGCATGTTTTTATAAATCACCAAATGGACGTCAGTAGCTAATCTATGCTGCTCAAAATTTATGTCATTTTGAACTATGTATCATATTAGGAACTTAGCAGAATTGCTTTGCTGTAACTTATTGTGCCAATTTAGGGTCATATCTAATTAGGTGCTCCATTAACTTTGTACACACAACTTTGCTTTCTCTAATTACATTTAGCATTCATCGATTGTTGCTGATTCCATTCGTTATAGTGCGCCTTTTGTTTCTATTGCAAATTCGGGCATTTGTTTATCTGAATTTCGAGCTATTACGACTGGTAGTATGATGCCTTGACTGGTAGTATGGAACTCCATTTTGTAGTTTTTAGAAGAGGAAGAGAAGGTAATGTCACAGCCTGATATTTTTTCCCCTAATATGGAACTCCATTTAGTTCAGGCTTCCTTCGTTTCCTTCATGGTTATTTTCCTCCTTGCTATGTGTTCCATCCTCAAACCTAGAGATACAACGCATTGTCATTGCTGATGTAATTATGTTTGGATCTTAGTGTCAGCCCCAGCACCACATTTAGTCGAGCCTATAGAGAGAGTGTATCAGTTAGTTCCTGGTACCGAGCTCGATTAACGTTCTTAGAATTGAGAATATGCTTCTCTTTAGTGTAAATTTATGCGAACTTAACAGATAAGAGTTTTTTGTTGTTGAAAAGAACAGATAATAGTTGGAGCTATAACAATGTCCAATGACTCTCATAATGCGTTCAGTATTAGCTGTGAACTTCTCGATATTTCCTATAGCTCGTCATTGTTACTCTATTTCTATTTGTTCAGTAGCTTCTCCTGGGTTGATTCCTGCCGCTTCATGGTCAAAACAACCTTTTCCATCATCTCTTAATTTGACAGCAAATCTACCATGCTAAGCTGAAACTGCAGTATATTGCCCTAGATACTACTCCCACACCTCACTTGAAGTTTTGTGGTTTTGGATATTCTAAAAGCTCTGTAAGCCTGAATCATGAATCATGACCATTTTGATTGCTTCCCGCAGTTGGTGAGCCAAGGAGGCACAGGGCGATACAAATAGGAGATCACAGAAGCTGGAAGTGGGCACAATAAACAACTCTGAAAGGGTCAATGAACTGATGCTTTCGAGACCTTGATGTATCCAAGAGGTACCTGAAAACGAGAGTTTAGAGTTTTATCTGCACACCCTCTCCTTCTTGGGTTCAACTTGATGTTTAGAATGCTTCTGTTCTGATGTTCATGATTAAAAGGCTGCTGTTGTAATTTGCTTTGTCATTACCCTCAAATTAGAGCAGTGATCTGTATCGTTTTAAATTGGTTCATGCGAATTCATCTCATGATGTAAACTCCGAGTTTGTTGTAGCATATGATTGAGAAAGCTTTTGCTGGGGAGCTGGGTACTTTTTGATCTTCGCGTCGTTATGATGAATCTCGCTTTGTAGTTGTTTTCAGAACCACTGGGATGAATTTGTTCAATGCATTATGAATAATCTCTCCAGAGCTTCGTTAGTGACATTAATTTCTTATTGGCATTCTAACATTTTCTATTGATTTCTATACTCAAAAGGTAGTTATTTTCTATACCAACTCATGAAATCCAAACTTGGTACTTCGGAAACACTTGCAAATCTACTACACCAAGTCAGCAATCTGAAACCAGCAAAACATCTCTGTTTCTGTATGGATTTGAGTTGGAACTTTCGATTCCGCTCAGCAGAAAAAGCCCATTTACAGTTTACCTAAAAAAGTCCACTATGTTCACACAAAAAAAAAAAAAAAAAGCCTCATTCACTCATCTCTGCTCCGGACGCGTTTTCGCCGCCGGTAAAATCAGACGGCGGGGAAGGCGGCCCTAGGCGTAAATCGGTGGACGGCGGACGTCGGCGGGGGGAAGGGGGTCGGAGGCGCAAATCGGTGGAAGGCGGCGGCGAATCAGAAACGGGAATCATCTCGGCATCCCGAAGATTGCCGTCGTCGATGGCGGGAGCGGGGATGTGCACTCCGACGTTCACCGGCGGTGGAGGAATAAGCCCAGGCACATTAGTCGCCGCATGCCCAAAATGTGCAGGTAGCTGAGGCAGTGGGACCGCCAGCGCGGCTGCAGGAAATCCGAAATCCGGAACTACGAATGGATTGACGACGGCGCGGCCGCTCCATCGCTCTGCTATGTCTTGCATCGCCGACTCCGGTAATTTCAAATTCAGCGGCGGATAGCTCGGATTCCCAGTTGCTGTGAATTCCGGGACTGCAAGTGGATGAAGGGCGCGGCCGCTCCATTGCTCTGATATGTCCTGCATCCCGTTCTCAGATAAATTCAAGTTCAGCGGCAGATTTCCTTGATTCCCAGTCGGCTGCGTCGACAAATCCGCCGTCTTTATAGATTCTTCCAAGCAAATCAACGCCGGCGTCGGCAGGGGATTCGAAATTTGCAGCTGCTTTGCTTCTCCCATGGGATCTTCCCAGCTCTTGAAGACGAGATAATCGAGCTCGATGACGGGTTCTTCTTTCTCCTCTGTTTCCCGATTCTCTGTTTTTCCCTCCGGGAGTTCCCTATACCAAGATACTCTGATGATCGGTTCTTCTCCGCCTTCACTGGATGGTTCTTCGTCTTTACCGCTCGGTTCTTGGTATTCAGAAGATGGCTCATCGTCTCCGGCGGATGATTCTTCGTCTCCGGTGGCTGGCTTTTCGGGTCCATCGGTTGGGTCTTCGTCGGCGGTGGATGTTTCTTCGTGCCCAGTGGATGGTTTTCCATCAGAATCAGATGATCCTTGTTCTGCAATTTTCCGCGCCGCCGCTCCCGATAGTGCCGGCGGTGGACGTTTCTTCCGATCTTGTTGCTCAGTTGTATTCTGATTCCCAGTTATCAAGACGCTGCCGCTCCGTCCCTCTGCTATATCCGGCATCGCCCGCTCCTCCGGTAGCTTCAAGAACTGACGCTCCGGATCTTGTTCCTCGTTGTTAGGATTCCCAATTGGCTGCTGTACTTGTCCTTCCAACGTATCGGCCGCCGTCATGGATCCTTCGACGCCGATCAATCCCTGGCCGGCAGAAACAGAGACCGAATCTTGAGGCTGCTCTATGGCGGATGGTTCTACCTCTTCGGTGGATGGCTCTTCGTCTTCGCTGTAAGCTTCTTCCACAGTATAGCGTGGCATTCTGTCTCCATCGGGTCTTTCTTCGTATTCGGTGTATGCTTCTCTGTAAACGTAGGATGGCACTTCGTCTCCTCCATCGGGTCTTTCTTCTTCGTCGTCGTCGTCGTCGGGGTCTGGGTGTTCGACAAAATAGGGTTGCTCTCCATTGGATTCACCGGGGCTCAGCGGCTGTACGATAAAGAAATAGATGGCGATGAAGACTCCTATCGCTGAAGCGCGGGAGAAGTACTGGAGCGGCTGATCGGAATCAAGAAAGTAATGGCGGCGGAGAGACGTTTTAGGAATCAGAGCGAGAAGAAAGAAAGAAAGAAACTCAACACAGCAAAACAGAATCGAAAAGAGAGCAATCAAGAAAGGCGTAATGGAGAATCACCGAGAAAGGCATTATGAATTATCGAGTCGGAAATTCACGGAGCGACGGCGGAAGACGGAGTCCCAGAAAGCTAAACGAAAGGAAAACGGCAGCTGTATCGTCTTCTCTGACTGCAGTAAGAAGCCGTGGAAGTTTTGGAGAGATAGGCTGAAGAAGACGACTATGGAGACTCCATTTTCCTCTCTCTCTCTCTACAGATTGCTAGTCTTCTTCTGTGAACTGGAGAAAGAAAGAGAGAGAGAGAGAGAGAGAGAGAGCAGAGCAGAGCAATTTATGCTGCGATGGAATCTGTTTCAAATAGGTAGAGAATGGCGCGCACTGGGCGATATGGGTCGCAGATCGGTTAAGTGTTAGACGGCCCAATTCAGCCTTTGAGCCCAATTTGAAAGCCCAATCTATTTCCTTTCGTCTATTCCCTACGACGGGCTTCCAGCTCCTTATGTCAAATATTGTAGCTATCTTGAGAACCATGAGAAAGCTGTCCTTTCTGTTGCGAATGCTCGTACCGGTGCGACCGACCTAGTGGCTAATCTCAGTAATTGTACCAACATTGGAGCTGTCATTGAACTGATAATGAGGTAACGATCTTAAGTTTTTTTTTATCCATTCTTCATCTATAGTTTTGTTATTGAAACTTGTTGGTTCTTTTGGTGCAGATATGCTAAAACTATTGAGGAATTGAGGGGATGCCTGATCGGAGGCCATGTTGAAGGGTATGCTTGATACCGAAGGCCTTGGATACTCTGATGGCACTTCATCAGTATGAACCACCCTCGCCAACTGGGATCGGTATATACCGAAATACCGATCAATACCGAAATATAAGCTAGTGTGTATTTTATCCTCTCAACTAGACTCTCTCATTCACTACTACGCGACCCTCAACCACCAATAGTGTCATTTGATTATACATAGATCATTACATCACTATTTCACACTAGTATTAGTCGTCTCTCAACCTCAAATTCATCAAATTAAAGATTACTAATTACAAAAACTTGAGATGTTAGCTCTAGGCAACTCAAGACTCTTTGTTTAGTCTCTTTGCCCTAAATTAAACAATAAAATCTAATTTATATATTTAATTATTAATGGCAAAGATAATTAATTTTGTATTTGATAATACCGATTGGGATACCGAGGTACCGATTGAGATACCGAAATATTTAGTTATTGGGATTGGGATACCAAAATTATTTAGGGATTGGGATTGAGATTGATTTCAGGGTGTAATTCGGTATTCGAGATTTCGGTATTTGGTATTGGGATACCGATACAGTACCGATTTCCACCGCTAGGGAAGACGACAGAACTTCCTTTTCAAACCTAACATAAGGAGTGTGCGTTCCGTTCTCCTCCATAGTAACCCGGTCCATTAAATTCTCTATTTGTGTATAATATTAATTAATGAGAATAAATTCCAACCACAGGTAGCATTTCGCACACCCGTCCTCTTTTTATAATATAAATATATAAGTATTTTATTAAGAATTATTTAATAAAAATAATTATATCCAAATGATTCATTCATAGTTTGAAAATAATCAACTATACAATCATTATTTTCATAAACAACCACGAATGGATTTCATATAGTGAAAGAAACGTAAAAACATTCGTTGTCTACACTATTAAATAAGTTTATTTCAATGTATATCACTAAACAAGCATTAGCAAACTGGTCGCTAAATCGACTTGGAAACTTGTTCTTAATATAACCCAAAGATGAAAATGCTTTTTCTACACTTGTATTTGTAATTGGTAGAATGAATACTAGCTAGTGGAATAGCCGCTGTCGTTAGACAATTTCAGGGTTGTTGGGGAAAAGATCTAATAGGCATAAGGAGAAAAGAGATTCGATTAGGTCTTTATTGCAATTGAAACTTCTATAATAGTATAATAAATTAATTTTATGTCAATTTATGAACAAGTAATGAGTTGTGTTGGAGTGACAAAATACTCTAATACTACATATAGATGTTGTGTTCCATCACCATATAAATATATATAGCGTATTTTTTGGTTCCTCCTAAATTTTTGAACATCCTACATACAGCATGGATGAATGGTTCAATATCAGTATTCTTCATGCTCTATTTTGGTCAGTTTGGTTACAGAGAAACCAGAGGATGTTCAAAAATTCTGGTACTACCGCCAAGATCATTGCTGGCAAAATCAGTCAAGATGGTTGTGGTTTGGCTTACTGCTCATCACAAGATCGACAAGGAGCATGCGGTTGCTTGGCTTGCTGAGTTCTTATCCTAGTTTTAATGCCTTGGTTGTCTGCTTTCTGGTGTACTTTCTGTTTGTCTGTTGATTGTAGTTGGTTTACAGCAGGGTCTGTTCGATCTGATTTGCTGTTTTTTCTTTTGTTGATTGGCAGGAACGGTTCCCAGTCCGTTTAGCCATTTCTCCTTTCTTCCTCTGTTTCATTTTATTTTCTGTCTTCTTCTTTTACTTGTCTTGCGGTCTGGTTTGCTTGGGATCCTGGTTCTTTCCTCTTTAACCATTTCCCTGGTTGTGACTTCTTTTTGTTTTGCTTCTCAATAATAAAATCACCATTATAGAAAAATTTACCCCTATCCAGGGACAAGGTCCAAAGAGCCTGCCTCCGCCTCCGCCTCCGCCTCCTCTGACCACTTCCCAACACTTAACGTTACGCCTAGGGCTGCAAACGAGCCGAGTCGAGTTTTTGCTAAGCTTGAGCTCGGCTCGTTTATTAATTTTTTAGCTCGAGCTCGGCTCGAACTCGAATTTTGATAATCCAGCTCGAGCTCGAGCTCGGCTTGAATAAAAATAAACTAGCTCGAGCTCGACTCGGTAAAGCTCGATAAATGCTCATTAACATAGCTTTTCAAGCTGAGTACAAGCTCAGCTCAAGATGAGCTCGATTTAAAATCATTCTTGCTGGAAAAATGTGTAAACATAAGAATTTAAATGATAGAAAGAACACTACAAACTATAAATAACATCTAAATTTCATACACATTTGTATTAACAAGACAATGTTCATGTTTAAAAGAGTAATTCATCCTTCCACAAGTTCTAAACAAGGCAGCTCGCGAGCTTAGCTCAACAAGCCACAGAATCAAGCCAGCTCGCGAGCTTATCAAGCTGAGCATGTTCTAGCTCAAGCTTGGCTCGTTAACTAACGAGTTGGCTCGCGAGCCGGCTTGTTAAATAATGAGTCGAGTGTCGAACGAGTTTTTTCCGATTCGAATGCCGAGTTGCTCGCGAGCGGCTTGGCTCATTTGCAGCCCTACTTACGCCCAACTAACTAATACGCAAACCTCAGTCCTGTGTCAATTTCGCTCCGCTTTAGAGTTAGTTATCCGTCCATTACAATTAGAAGAAAGTTACTTAAATGCGGCCCATATGATTTTAACCTTTTTAGTCTTGATTTTAACCAACTCATGATTTATTATTGGTCGAACCAAAATCCAAATGTCAGGTTGTTACAACGCAACCCCCAATCGTTGGTAAAGGACTTCCTGGATCATTTAGCAGCTTATGAGGTTAACCAATGCATAAGGCACCTCCTAGCTTATTCGGCGAGAACTCTAGTCCCGAGTCGGGATCGTGCCAAGTAGTGATCGTAGGACAAGTGATCCATGGATAAAGAGAAAGATCATGGACTCACTTATTTAGGTGCTCATCTTTTCTTTTTCTTTAAAGATGGTTGTAACCCCTTTTTTTATTTTCTTGTTTTTTTCTTTTCTTTTGTGTGGGTTCCAACCTGCTATTTTCAGAAAACGGGGCTCCCACCTAGCAAAGGTTTTGCGGGATCCCAGCTCTTACCGGCCATGCGGGAGCAGATGTCTCAAGCCTCGTGCGAGGGAAAGAAATTTAAGGGGGCTAGAGCCTGGAGGTAGTAGGTAGAAGATGGGAACGAATTTCGTCTCCCCTTACACACTTCCACCGATTTCCATACGGGAGACATTGTTTTAAAAGCATAGTTTAGAGCACCTTTCCAAAACATGATACAGAGTCCATGACAGGTAGAGAGTCCACAATACCACACGATTCAAGTATCATAAGATCACTAATTCACACAATCATCCAACACAACATGAAAAAGAAATGAGACTTCTTAAATGCATCAACATCCTCCATAGTGCTACACTACCTCCTTAGGTTGCATATTACTATAAAGACTGTCAATTCAAAGCATACTGAGCAGACAATTGCAAGGAACACGCACTTGGAGCCCTCAAATCGAAATTTGGACAATGTACTAGGCTCCAAGCACAAGACACATATAAGCAGTCAAATAGAAGCACCCTCCACACTTAAGTTCGACATTGGCCTCAATGGAGAAGAGGAAGGATAAGGGAAATGATGTTATCGAGAAAAACATACTGCAGCGGGACTGGAGAGGGGACTAGTCAGCAAAGGACTAGAAGTGGGACCAGTCAGGGCAAGAACACGGGCTAGAACAAAAAACAATCACTCGAACACAAGTCGTTAGGAAGAGTTGTCAGCCCAATGGGGGCTCGACAAACACACAAACCGACTCAAAATATCAAAAATAAAAAAACAAAGAAAAGAAAATGCAAACCGTGGTGGGGTTGCCTCCCCACAAGCGCTTATTTACCGTCTTTTAGCTGGACACCTACGGTGGATGCTTAGGACAGTGGAAGAATAGGTGCCTCCAAGAGCGGATCCACCTCGCTCTTGAGGTACAACTTCAGATGTTGACAATGCACACGACAGTTGTGGCCATCAGCACATGTCAACTCGACCTGGCCATCCGGCAGGATGCAAGCAAGTGAATACTCGGATAGCCAGGGTGGTCGTGGCTTAGGAGCTGTGACCAGCTCATAGTGGTCTCCAGCTTTCTTTTTGGGAGGCTCGGCAGCCTACAGCTTCGGCCACCACTCCTCCTTGAGCTTTTCTTTTGGTAACGGGACAAACGATAGTGGCAACGAAGGAATGAGTGGAGAATCCTGCAAAATGAAACGCACAGAATGATACACGACAGACTCGTACACCTGGTGAGATAAAGCATGCACAGGCGAGGTAACAGTCATATTATTAGCAATATAAAATGTTATCTGCTCCTCACCATCTCTCAAGACTAAGGTCCCATCATGCACATCAATAAGACGGTCGGTGATTAACGGTGAAACGATTTGTAAAGTTAATGAACAATAAAAAAGAAAAATAATTCAAGTGGCAAATGTAAAAGATTTGCAACATTTGAGTGACCAACTTGTAATTTAGGGGTCGTTTGGATGTGGAAATGTAATGCAGTAATCGGACTCAATTACCACATAATACAGTAATTGGGTTAAAAATCCACGTTTGGGAGAGCAAAAAGGGTATGAGAATTGGACCATGGAAATTGGCTTCAATTACCACATTCATGGTAATTGAGAATACTACACCTCCCCCTAGTAATTTGACATTACCACGTTTTCTTACTTCTTTTTCCAAATTTCACACCATCAATTCCCACGTTAATTTTTTTCAATTTCCACAAGTTAATTCATTGATTTTGTTAAACATAGAAATTCAGACAAATTCCAACTTTTTCAAATTTCCACATCCAAACTACCCCTAGCCTTTTAATTTGTGATGCCAGGCCGTCTGTAGCCATGGCCCATGAGCGACATGTTATGTACCGTTTCTTGTGTCCTTCTAACTCTAAGCCCTTCTCCAACTAATGAATCAGATTATCAACAGTAGATTCTGGACCGGGCTAGGAAATTAGGGATTTCTATCTCTTCCTTGTCTTCTGCACTACTAGCTAACCCTTACTCCTCCGGTGGCGCTATCTTGCACCCGCCTGTTTGTCTACCGCTATGGCGACTGAGAACTGCACCACGGTTTTGGATCAACTGCTAGACGCAGCTTTTTGACCTCCTCGCGGCTGCAGAAAGAGACGGTCCCGTTCAGAGGTAAATCCTCGTTCTCCGATGATCAGCAAACTCGGAAACGATCTCCTCGTCGAAATTCTGATTCGCCTCCCGAATCCTAGATGTGCCTGCCGGAGCAAAGTCGTGTGCAAGCTGTGGAGATCCCTGATTTCTGATCCCTGCTTCAGTCGTCTTTTCCTTTCTCACCACCACCAGCGCATGAACAAACCACCTCCTCCTCCTCCTCAACTCCTTCTCTCAGATGACAGGGAATCGGTCGTCCTGAGATTCCTCCCCACACCCGTTGAAGAGGGAGGCTACCGTTCACTGCTTTTCGCAGTTTTCGATTGTTTCAAGGACTTGCTTTTATGCGGGTTTGGGGAACTAGGTGACCGCCATACGAATGCTGAACTTGCCAGATCCTACTTGATCTGCAATCCTTTTACGAAGCAATGGATCGCTCTCCCTTTGGCCCCCGAAAGACCCGTCGGCGGGCTTACGGAATTGTGCGCAAGGTTAGTCTGCGAACCCTTGATTTCTGATAGTCGTCTTGATCTAGGAGGTGGCTATGAGTATCGGTTCCGGGTGGTCTGTATATATCAAGATAGGAATTCCATGAAGCTAGATGTGTTCTCTTCCGACTCTGGAAAATGGAAGAAGGAGGCTCTCCTTCTTCAAGGTTGCCGCAGACACCGAATGATTGATGTTGTTTCCTGCAATGGGCTTTTATATGTGCCCTATCTTAGAGCACAAGACAGATATGTTGGCGGCTTGCCTAAGCCTTTCATTACTGGTTTCAATCTTTTCCGCCTTGATATACCTCCCACTCCTATTGATGTTTCCCCAATCCTTGAGAAATGGTGGTGGTGGAATATCTCGGTTTCGCAAGGTGCTCTGCACTTGATTGTGTTTGAGGACGGCACTAAGCCTGCTAGTTCGAGGATTGTCTTGAGTGTGTGGAGGCTAAATGAAGCCAGTAACTGTTGGAGGAAGGTGTGTGAGGGGTCGGTGAAGCCAAAGGGTGAGTACAGACTGGAGTCCGTTTTGTTTCCTACTCTACATCCAGAGAAGCCGCAAACTGTCTTCTTTGCTCTGATTGCTGGTGGCGGTAGGGATTGTCGTGTGTCCTGCGATTTAAGGAGGGGGGGAAAGTTAGAGTTTGTCGCTCGACTAACTCAGATTTTTACCGGTTGGAGGGTGTTCCAGCCTATGATAGCCTCTTGCTGGCCTACTCCGATTCCAAGGTACCAGAAGCTGAGAGTTGCCTACAATGGAAGCTACAACTATTGGGTTCAGAGCAATGAACCAATAGCCCCCTCAATAACTGGTACGTATACTTGTACTTGTGAGAATCTACCTTCTTCTTTGCTGTCTTTCCTAGCAGAGTGGTCTAACGAAAACAACTAGGAATGTGTCAATTGGATGTTCTACTGAATCTGTTCAACTGAGAGTTGGTAGTTAGCAAGCATAAATAAAGTCAAGAAGTAAAAAGAAAGAGAAGAGATCTTCTCAAGCGAGGTGAACTCTAAGCTTTTAATAAGATATATGGATTAAGGATTAATAGCTTTTTTGAAGAGTTAAACTAGAAAACGTGTGGTTGTTCAACTTGTAACCAAACTTCGGTTTCAAGTGTCGTTCTTTTTAATCTGAAATGAAAAACACTCCCCTTGTGTCCGATTGTTTGAGAATTCAGGGTAGTTGCAATCTGCAGAGAGAGAGACTGAGAGGCGACAGAGAGGAACCGCACTAAATCTGTTCTCCTTATTTCTCGTTGTGGCTTGGTATCTAATCACATTTCCCATCTCTTTTCTTTGTTGTGGTTGGTTTTGTTTTTCTGAACTAATAGAAGAATGGCAAGGAGTTGAACAATCTGGTAACTGGAAGAAGCCAAAGGTGGCGAATGGCTCACCTCTTCTCAAGGATAGGATGGACGTTGGCGGAAGAAGGTCTGTGTTATCTCTTGATTAAAGGAAAGTAGTTTATCAGTTAATGTTTTTCCCTTGATCAAGTCAATGCTATTAGTTGGTAGAATTCAGTGTAGAGGGCATATTATACTTAAAGCTCTGTGCTCTTCAATCGAAAGCGCAAAAGTCCCACATGAATCCAGGGACTCCTTCCCTCCCAAAATACATTACATCTTTCTTCCTGATCCAAATTGTATGACGCAGTCGGCTGTGGTTTAAATAATAAACGAATGGAGTTGCTGCTATGCAAGGCTTTTTGGGCAAAAACTTATGTCGATTTGCTGCTACCCCTCCTGGTTCATATATGAAGTGCACTAGTGCAGGATAGATTTTCCAGAGTGTTCATTCACAATGACTGTTTATGTACATACATTTGCGGCTTGCGATAATTTGACGAGACCAAGGAACTCGAGCGTTGTTAAATATATCTTCGCCTTTGTCAAACTAAACTATTTATTGGTAGAAGTATTTTTAACGCTGTAAAATAGATGATATCCATATAATATGCTAATTTAGAGTATTATGTATAGTTAAGATCGTAAGATCTTGCTTCTCTGTTATCCAATCACAAATTTCTTCCTTCTTCAAATCAATGATTAATGGTGAAAGGACAAGGAACTCGAGCATCGGCTACTTCGACCTCAACCTCCCCAAACATATGGAGATGGAGATCAAATCATGATGCTCAAAAAATGAATGGATTTAATGTGATCAATGGAAACAATCGAAATCATCTACGAGGTCCAAAGCTAAAGCTGAAAGTAAACCGGCAAACTGCACAACTAAAAATCGAAGTGGAAAAAAAAAAGGAGCAAGCTTTCTGTTCTTCAAGTAGTAGATCGATCCAGTGGACTGATGGGTAATGATCTTCTTCTGTCTATCTGCATTCAATTTTGCGTCTCCATTGGATTCAAGCTTCCTTGCTCTTTCCAGCGCCCGCCTCGTCCGTTTCCATTGCTGCTGCTCTTCTGCTCCCGGCGGCACTGCTTTCTCCGGTAAAGTAGTAGGGCGACGGCGGTACATTTCGTGAAGTGGGCATTAACGGCAGCGGGTTGAACGGCGGGATTGTCATCTCGATTTCCCGACGAATACTACCCCCTACTTGGGCCGCTGGACGTGGCTCTGTTCCTGATCCGATGATGACCGACGACGGTGGCTCTGTTTCCGGTGCAGGATTGGGGATGTCAATGGCAACGTGGCCCGCCGACGACGCCGTTTCTTGATCATTACCGCCGCTTTGTGGAGGCGCTGCTGCTTCTTGCAACATTGCTAGCTCGTCCGCCGTCAGTCGCCGGATTTCTTCGGGAACAGCTTCTAAGAAGAAATGCCTCAGCTCTGTTCCGAGGGGAGGGAACTGTTCACCGAGAAAGCAGAGGATCTCGACCATCTCGCGGTAAGGCCCAAAATTCCTCCCGAGTTCGTCCATGGATTCTCTGTCAATTACGCGAAATCCCTCCGGCGGCGGTCCGCCTCCGGCTCCTTCCTCAACCACGTTCAGGGATCGTGCAGCGGCGACAGCGGCAGCGCGATATTCCGGCGAATAGCGAAAACGGAACGCGGACTTCATAACCAGCATGGCAACCATGAAATTCAGGACCGGGTTGGTTCCCATTGGGAGCAGGCCAAACATGAGCATCAGTAGCCTCAGCTGTCGCCGTCGTCAACCGGAAGAAAACGCAAGCAGCAAATTAGGAAAAAAGCCCCGCCATGAAAGAAACTCGGAAGGAAAAAACAGAGGAAGAAAATTATATGGATTGAGGAAGGCAGAATTGATACCCAGAAGCTCATTGTTCGTATGTGGAGGAGTGAATATTGGGATTGATCGATCGAGTTTGCAGAAGGAATTTCACAGGAAATCCAAGAAAGCTACTAGAGCGACTGATAGGAATCAAGAAAGCAATGGCAGAGAGAGGCTTAGGAATCAGATCTTGAAGAAAGAAAGGAAGGGAACTCATCAATGGAAATCGAGAAAGAAAGAAAACTCGATCAAGAAAAGCAAAAGCTTTGTTGATGGAGACTCACCGGGGAAGGCATTGTGAAATTCTCGAGCCGGAAATTCACAGAGAGAAACGGCGGAAACGAAATCCCAGAAAGCTGAACGAAGGAAAGGGCTACTGAGTCGTCTTCTTGGCTGCTGAAAGAACGGTGGAGGTTGTGGAGGAGATTGGCTAGAGAAGATGGCTATGGCGACTCCATTTTTCTTTCTCTACTGATTGCTTGTAACTAACTCTTCTCTGTTTACTGGAGAAAGAGGAGAGGGAGGGAGCAAAACAGAAACAGAGCAATTTATTCTGTTTCAAATAGCTAGACAGTGGCGCGCAAATGGTTTGCGTGGGCCAGAGATGGGTTCGATCTGATGAGCTCTAACGGCCCAATACAACGTTTGAGCCCAATGTAGAAGCCCAACATATTTCCTCTCGTTTAGTATAGTCCCTCGGTCTTAAAACCTCCAACCAGCAAAAAAACCCTCAGGAACGAATTGCAGACGACGATTGTTGCAATGGCGAAATGGTGGCGTGGGATCAGAACGGCGGCGAAATTCCCTCCTTCGTTTCAGTCGCCCCTACTCTCAGAGCTAAGTTCGTTACTTTTTTTTTTTGGGTACTTATCACTGTTTGCGCTCATTGGCTAAAGAAGTTATTTTGCTCTGCTGAAGCTACTCGATTTCACCATTGATGACCTCGAAACACCTCAGTGTGATGCTTTCATCAAGGAATTGATATAAATGAAAGTTCCCCTGTATGTGTAAGGTTGTTTCATTGCGAACCTAAGATCACCTTGCCCTATCATCCCGAAACAGATGGGAATTGCAATTTCCCTAAACCTATGTCGAGTCGCCGCTACTCTTCCTTTTGCTCATATACGAAGTGCATGTCAGGTTTTCGGTAGTGCTGGATTACGAAGCTTCAATCACTCACGAAAGCGACATGGATCAGGGTAGGATTCGAGCAGTGGAATCTCCTCGAGAAGAAACCTAATGCTCGCTACTCTTCCACCTCCTGGAAGCGGCGGTTGACTACTGATAAGATGGAAGTGGAAAGATAGTAAGATACTGAATTTGGTGTTTGTTTGGGCACTGAACTGAAAGTTGCTTTAAAAGGAGAAGAGAATCACCCTGGTCTCAGCAACAGTAAGTTTGCTAAGTAGTTCTGTGTAGGAATTCGGAAGAAGTGTGTTTCTGTTGGACTTTCCTGTTTGCAGAGTGCTGGATTAGTAGGATTACAAATTTCCTCGCACTGGTAGAATGGAATGGAGTGTGTTAGCTCTTAGCAGTCTGCTGGTTGATTAACTCATATGGTGGGGGTTTAATTGACAGTTGATTAAATTAGTGGGAATGTGATTGATTTTACCATTGATGAGCCTGAGCATATACTATCTCATTATGTACTCAAAGGAAACCGTTGTTGATCGAATACAATTAATTGATGTGTTATCATTGTGATTCTGGTGGGCAGGTGGTCGATTGAACCAGTTTGGAACCAGTCTCAAGTTTCTTTGCACTGCTGAAAACATCCTGCACAAGATCACGGTTGACCGCGGAGCAATCTGGACTGGAGAGCGAATTGTCACATGAGTTCGATGTCAATCCATTGCTGTAGCATCTACGTAACGATGAGATCGCCCCTGTATGATAGGTTTTTCCGGCACAAACTTATGTCGATTTGCTGCTACCCTCCTTGTCATGTATGAAGGGCAGTAAGATTTTCCATACTGATCATTCAGAATGACTGTTTATGTACACACACATTTGCGGCTTGCGATAATTGGAAGAGACCGAAAACCCAAAAGGGTGGAAATAAAATTGACTGTTTACTGATATAGGTTACTCTAAATAGAAGTCAGCAAGATATTCACATGATATGCTGATTTAGAGTATTATATATAAGTAAGATCGTCAAAATCTTGCTTCTCTGACTTTACCAGACCCAAATTTGAACTTCCAAAATATCAGCTTTGTTCCTTAGTTTTGATGAACAATTCTAGCAGATTATCTCCTTGAACTTCCATATACTATGGGGTTGAATTGCAACAGAAGATTCCCTGTACTAATCAAGATATAATCCGAATGGGACCAGGATTTTGAAACTGAAAGGCAAGAGTATAATAAGCATTCATGAATTCAACCACCCAAACATATGGAGATGGAGATCAAATCATGATGCTAAAAGAATGTGAAGTGATGCGATCGATGGAAAAACAATCGAAATCATCTCTTAGGTCCAAATCTAAAACTAAAAGTAACCCGCGAAATTGTAAAATCGAAGTAAAAAAAAAAAAAAAATAGAGAGCAAGCCTCTGTTTCTTCAGGTAGTAGATCGATCCACTGGACTGATGGGTATGAATCTTTCTGTCTGTCTGTTTGTCTGCATTTCAAGCTTCCTTGCTCTTCCCAGCGCCCGCCTCGTCCGTTTCCTTTGCCGCTGCTCTTGTGCTCCCGGCGGCACTGGTTTCGCCGGTAAAGTAGGACGACGGCGGTACAGTACTGTGTGAAGTAGGCATAAACGGAAGCGGGTTGGAAGGTGTTTCCGCCGACGCCGTTTCTTGATCATTACTTCGGGTTTGTGGAGGCGCTGTTTGATGCCTCATCCAGATTCTTTGTAGCTCGATCGCCGTTAGCTGCCGTATTTCTTCACTGAAGAACTGCCTCAGCTGTACTGGGTCGGTCCGCATTGGATAAACCCTCCGCAGGAGAAGCACGAACTTAGCCTGTCGGCATCATCATCAACAGGAAGAAGAAACGGAAATAGCAAAAATGAAGAAAATCCCGCCATGAAAGGAACTCGGAAGGGGGGGAAAAAAACAGAGAAAAGAAATAATAATGGGGTTAAAGAAGACAGAATTAGTACCCAGAACCCCATTGTTGATCTGTGGAATTGAGTATTGGATTGATCGATCGAGTTTGCGCAGAAGGAATTTCACTGGGAAGTGGCGGAAACAAAATCCAAGAAAGCTAAGCGAAGGACAGGGGGCAACTTGAGCCGTCTTCTTTGGTGCTGAAAGAAACAGTCTTTTCTTTGAACGCGGTAGATGTTAGAAGAAGGATTGAAGTTGGAGTGAAGAAGTTTGGCGCCATGTTTCAAAGTTTGAAGTTTGTGTTCTGTGTTTAGCAAAACTGTGTCGTGTGGAAATTTACTGTTTGGTCACCTTTGTTATGTTTGTGTTTATTAGAGTCCAGCAGTTCAGTAGCTTTGTGTAGAAGGCAGTTTAGCTTGACAGTTAAGGTTTAGGTGATCGTGGTTAGTGGCAAACCGAGATTGCTG